CATACAACGCTGTCTCCAAGGTCAGGATCTATTTTCTAGAAGCTTCTATTTCCCCTTTGCCTTACCACCCTCTACCCCGTTCCCTAAGTCAAGTGCCTACACCTACTTACCTTCTCCCCTTGGGTCTACCCAGCAACCCCAGTAGTCTTGACCGCTGAGCCTGAGAAGAGGCTGTTTCACCATGGCCAGAAGAGGGCGCTGTGGGGCAGGTCAGGCTTCAGACTTCCAGGCCTTCTGTCCATGCTTTAGGTTAGTCTTTCAACATGTGCTATCCATTGGACAACAGACCCTAACACCCTCACCACTGTTGCTGCAAAGGTTACATGCAAGAATTAGGCACGATCAGATTACAAACTGTCAAGGCATCTGTGGCTACATGGGACAGGATAGAGGGAAATTACTTCTACACTGTCCTCTTGGAGAGTTTGGTCCCCAGGTGTATGCCCTGGCTTCGCCCAGACTCTCACCTCCCAAGACATCTTTCATCTACCTCTTGCGTGAACACTGTCCTTGTCTCAGTCTTGCTCACAAGGATTCAGGGTCTGCTTATTGGGCAGGCTTGCTGAAGCCTGTGACTGTGTCAGTGTAACCAATGGTTTGGACCCTGCAATAGCACACAGGCTAGGGAAGAAGACACTGGGCCCCTGGGTCAGGAATTTACTGGTTCCGCGGCAAGTACTTTGGACATGGTGACAAGGCCTTCTTTGTGGCCAGCACTGAAAGGGGAAAGGCCTTTGTCACGACACTCCCTAGTTCACTTACACTTTGACCCCAGGTTCCCCTAAGACAACCTGTCACCCCAGGTCCCAGTGCCCACCGCCTGTTTCCTGGCTCCAGGTTAGTCTCCTATATTCCTTTCCCCACATGCCCAGCCCAAGACTATACTGTCCCAGGGGCCTCTAAGGTTTCTTTGCTGACTCTGGCCAACAGCCTCTCAGAACAGATGTGTAGCTTGTACACTGCATCCTCCGAGGCAGGACCATTCACCCTTCAGCTCATGAGCATTGAGGTAAAGTCAAAATAGTGACAGGCACTCCTACTGCATGCAACATGGCAACTATCCAACTATCCAGTTGTGACCCTAGCTCATGGTCCTGGATCCTGAGGAGAGTCTGGATCAGGATCCTCCTAGATGCACGATAAAGAAGGTTGCAGAGTCCCCGTCTTAGTTAGGGTTTCTATTACTGTGAAGAGACATCATGACCACAGCAACTCTTATAAAGGAAAACATTTCATTGAGGTGGTGGCTTACACTAGTCCGTTATTATGATGGCGAGGAGCATGGCGGGTACAGGCAGACGTGGTGCTGGCTACATCTTGATCAGAAGGGAATGATCTTAGACACTGGGATGTATCTTGAGTATATGAAACCTCAAAGCCCACCCCCACAGTGACACACGTCCTCCAACAAGGCCACACCCACTTCAACAAAGCCACACCTCCTAATGGTGCCACTCCTTTTGGGACCATTTCCTTCCAAACCACCGCACCTCCCAAATCTCCAATTCTTCAATTGCAAAGAAAGGAGCCCATCCCAGCCATGCAGACAGACTGAGCTCTAGAACCTGGCAACCCGACTGCACCTCACCTGCTCTGACAGGCTCTTCGGGTGGTCCTCTTGTCACAGTCATGCCTACACTCAGCCTCAAGATCTGAGACTCAGCCCCGACTTTCTCCAGTGTTGTTGTAAGGTCACTGATGCTCTTGGCTCCGGCCTAGCATCTGCTTTGTCCCTCACAGGAAGCCTTTCCTCCTCAAGGCCCGGTGATGGATAGCTATTTGCCCTCCCAGGGTGCTAACCTTTGTGTTGCACCTGCTGGGGTAAGCCCCCCTTACAGATGGCACAGAGAAACAGAAAATTGTGGGGTGGCTGCAGAGCTCAGGAGCCCAGCCTACCTGGGTTGAGGTATTGTGACTACTGGTCTGTGTGGGGATGCCCAGGAGACATGTTTACACCTATTATGTTTATGGCAGGTTAGGTGGGACAGTGGGGGAAGGGGTCTTGGGTAAGCATCTCTTGATGCCCTGTAATCACTCAAGGGATTCTGTCTCCCCCCACCTTACATCAGTGATGATGGAGATCGTCTTTGAAGCCAGACCCCTGCCGTCCAGTACTATTGTAACCAGACATCTTTGCAGGAAATGTAGTTGGACGAAGGGCCGTGCTACAGGACACTGGTGAGGATGTGGAGCTCCAACGTGCTTGGACCGCTCTATAAGGCCCTCTGAGAGAAAGCAGCCTGCGGTGATATGTTGTTTATGATCTAGGAAAGCTTGGCTGGAGATCAGAATGCAAAGATGGCCACAGTCACAGAGGCCAGGCAGTGGTGACACACGCTCATTCCAGGACTCAAGAGATAGAGGCAGATGGATCTCTGGGAGTTCAAGGCTACCCAGGGCTACATGAGAGTGAACCAGTCTAAAAGACAAACAGAGCTCACTCCTTTAGTCCCAGCACTAGAAAGGTATATGAGATAGGAACAGGGTCTCACAACTGACATTCCATCTTAGGTAGTTAGTTAGTCTCCAGCCATGTTGAAGACAGGACGGCCCCAGCCTTGGTAGAGGTAAGAGCTCTCTAGTCGTTTGGCTGCTTTGCTTTTCGGATCTTCAGCTTGAATCCCAATATCTGTCTCTGGTTTTATATTACTTTACAGGACATAGGAGTATTGTGGAGGATTCCTTTATACTGTGTGAAGATGTGTCACTGTGATTTGTTTAATGAAGAGTTGAATGGCCATTAGGAGGATGTTAGGCTGGATTTATGGGGACAGAGGGCTCTGGGAAGAAAGTAAGAGTCACCACATGGACGCAGAGGGAACAAACATGCAGGAGGAGCGATAAAAGCCATGAGTCATGTGACAACACGTAGATGAATAGAAATGAGTTAATTTAAGTTATAAGTGCTAGAAGGATAAGTCTAAGCGACACACCAAGCTTTTATAATTAATAATAAGTCTCCATGCTGTTTTTTGTTAGCTGGCAGCCCAAAGAAAAATCTGTCTACACAGGTGTCTTGAACACAGCTAGACATGGACACAAGCAGGAGGTGGAGACATCAGCCAGCATGACGGAAGGCCTTGTTGCTGAATTTCTTATCCTGAAGTACTTGGAATCACTAACCCCTTCAGCCAGTTTCAGCATGTCATTAAACAGAAATTGCACTCTCTACCTGGGAAGGGAGAAAGGGAGGCCGCCAAAGGGCCTAGAGAAGGACAAGTTACAACAGAGATAGAAAATGCATGGTCAAGTCAGTGGGAACCCATATTCATCTAGGCAGTTTCAGGGACTGAATCTCTCTACACTTGGCTATGTGGCCTCTGGAGCAGGGGTCTTGTGATGGAGCTTAGGGGTAGAAACGCCTGGGGACCAGGTGACCACCTGTGTATACCGAAGGATACCGTATGCCAGAGACTCAAAGGAAGAAAATACCCTGATGATACTTCCTTAATCAACCATGTCCCCTGACTCCCCTCCTGCCATCCCTAATCAGAGCCCAAGTGAACTGCCTCAACTGTCTGCATAGCCAGAGTTACATTTTCAGTTTTCAACAATCATTGGAGATCACATTGATAACTCTTCATGGAGTATAGAAGGAGGCAAATGACGGTAGTCGGCATCAAGCTATGATGAAACTCTCTGAAATGACTCATTTTGCTGTTTTGAATTGAGAGCAAATCTTCTCCAGGCAGAGACCATCACATCTTCAGAGAGATATAAAAACTAAGAGATACCACAAGAATAACCATGGTGAAATCTTGCAGTTTGGATGCCATAAATATGAGATGCATTTGCTCTGAAGCTGCAGCAGGAGAAAGGCAAACTACAATGATGACAACATAGAGACAATGAGAATGATCTCTTCTGGAGTCTTTTAAAAAGAAAGTACAGGTAACTGGCCATCCCCTAGGACTTATGTCCAAACCCAAGGTTCTCTTTCAGCGTTATAGTGGCAGAGATACTGAGGGAGGAAGGCTGGACCCTTACTTCAAGCTCTTTGCAATCATTTTAGATTAACACAGTCTTGTAAGAAAAAGCAGAGAGGTCCATGTCCTCATACTTGGCTTCCTCCAATAATAATGTGTTGCACAGTTGTCTTCACCCCCAGGAAATGGGTGTTGATACAATGGTTCTGCTTTTGAAAAACTGAAGAACACTTATTGAGATGAAGAAAATACCAGGCATGTGTGTGAGAACTCTCAGGTGCCTGCTCAATAGAGACACTGAGCCGGACTATTGGATGTGAGGAGCTTATTAGAAAAATTAGCACCATGGACAGACAGATGACAACAAAGCAGGGACTCTGAAAAGTGTAAGAACCCAGTACCAGGACAGACTGACAGCCAGGTTGTGGTTCTTTAGAGAGGAATTGGGAGCCCATGAGTCAGGAGCAGGTTGGAGGTAGAGGTTGAAGACTGGTGGTTCTCTCCTTATAGTTTTGGGGAAGGAAATGGTTTCACAGCTGTAGCTAGGCTCTCTGATCTCCAGGCAAGAGGTGAGGAAGGAGTAAGAAACAGGATGTGTGGCCACCAATACTTCCTTTGATATAAACTTACGTCCTGAGGTGAGAAATCTAGGCACCTGGAAATATGTGAGCTGGGGACTCACAATGTCTGAGTCGGGTGTGGTCTGTGTGAAGAGCAAAGTGATGATGTGGGTGTTGTGGCCTGAGCAACAGGCTGGTCTGGATGCTAAAGTTGCATTCTAAATTCAAGTTTGTCTTAGGACAATTAAACAGAGAGAAAATACCTAGCAAGTTCCCATCCATTGAATGAACATGTTCACACATATGTGGTACTACAAGCCTGTAATCCCTACCCTTGAAGGCTGAAGATGGAGGATCAGGAGCTCAAGGCCAGCCTTGGCTACTGTTGTGACAAAACTTTCCCTGTAGGGACACAGTACACATGTCTACTTACCCTAGTTGGGCTCACACATCAGACCAAAGTATGGATACCACCAAACTTGGTGAACCAATGAGTTTTATTGAGGTTACTTACAGGAATACAGGCGAGGGATGACTTACAGGAACAGAAATGACTCAAAGACAGCTGTACCACCAAATCCCACTCCAGCATGGGCAGCAGCTCACAAAGCTGGGAACCTGGAGCACACTGCACAGACTATAGGTAGCTCAACAGGTTGGAGAGTGTCCTTCCCAAGTGACTCGGTTGGTCTGAATCTCTTCCAGGCAGCTCAGCTGCTTTCTGCTTCTTCCAGGCAGCTGGTCTTGGCCCAGAGTCTTCTTCACTACTTAACTTCCTTTTGTCTGAAAGGGACTCTCTTTTATTGTTTACTCTGGCAGGGCGGGGCCTAGTGAATCTGGTCAGTTTCAGGGACTTCCTGAATCTATTTTAACTTGCTTACCTTCCTGCTTAAGGAGCTTCCCTTCGTGATAGAAGGTTTCAGTCTCAGAAAAAAAAAATGTTACACAACAACTCCACCAGCAGTATGTGCCTAACTGGGGCTATTATTGGCTTTATGAGACCCTGTCTCAACAAAGAAAAAAAACAAAAACAAAAACACCCACAATAAATGAAATTAAGAAAAACAAAAATATCATTATGACCCTTGAGATTGTTTGGATGGCCTATAGAATTGCAACTCAAATTAACGAAAGATAGAAATGTCTAGGCATTTGTAGGCAGTGTAACCTAGACTCTTGTTGGGAATTATTGTTGTCTTTGTTAGTTTCAATTGCTGTGATAAAATGGCCAATACAACCTACAAAAGAAAGCATTTAATATGGGACTCATGACTCCAGAGAGTTAGCGTTTATGACCATCATGTTGGGGAGTGGAGGGAGGCGAGCACGTGGCTCTGGCAGGCCTTGCCCTTCTCCCCCATTCCCTCTGCCTTGCTAAAGCAGATTGCATCCCTAAAGCTGGCCACTGAGGTCCATTCTCTTTTTTTTTTTTAATATTTTATTTATTTATTGTGTATACAGTCTTCTGCCTGCATGCCAGTGGAGGGCACCAGATCTCATTCAAGGTGGTTGTGAGCCACCATGTGGTTGCTGGGAATTGAACTCAGGTCCTCTGGAAGAATAGTCAGTGCTCCTAACCTCTCAGCCATCTCTCCAGCCCGAGGTCCATTCTCTTACTTGGCCACTTCCTCCTCGGGAGGCTGACTACCAAGGTCCAGCTATCAAAGTATTGAAGTCCAGCAATTAGAAGGCCCCCTTTGGCTCACCTAATTAAAGTTAAACACCTCATCCTAATGTGGAGTTTTCCCTTGTACCTTTATAAACTGCCATTTGCTTGTGGGCGATGTCTGTCTTCTCTCTATCCAGAGGCATACCCCTGCCCCCTTTCCCTTGTCTCCTATCTCCCTTTATCACTGCAGTCTAGCCCATTCTAACACAGACCTCCCCTTTTCTCATTAAAATGACACTGCAAGGGTATTTGCTGCTGTTTTTCTTCTTGAGTCAGAAAGCAACCACTGCAACCTTTCTTCCCTGCTAAATAAAGGATCTCTCTGTGAAAACAGGTGTTTGGGTGAGATTTGTGCCTAATCCAGGATCTGGGAGGGAGCCCACCTTGTGCAGGAGGTCCTCTTCAGGGAGCATGGCAGCAAGCAGACCAGCATGGCTCTGGAGCAGTAGCTGAGAGCTACTTATCTGATCTACAAGCACAAGGCAGAGACAGCTAACTGGGAATGGCACAGGCTTTTGAAACATTAAAGCCCACCCCCAGTGACACATCTCCTCCAACAAGGCTACCCCTCCTAATCCTTCCCAAACAGTTCCACTAACTGATAATCAAGGATTCAAATATATGAGACTATGGGGACCATTGTCATTCAAACCAACACAAATGTGCCTTTTAGTGTGTGTGTGTGTCCGTCTGTCTGTCTGTCTGTTTGCATGTATGTGTGAGTATTCATGTGAGAGTGTGACAAGGTTCACAGTGGACATCAGAGGAAAACCCAAGATATCTGTCCCTACTCTCTGTCTTGTTTTAAGGAAGGTCTCTTGTCACTACTGTGTATGCCAGACTAACTCATCCCTGTGTATGCCGGGCTAGCCCACCCCTGTGTATGCCAGGCTAGCCCACCCCTGTGTATGCCAGGCTAGCCCACCCCTGTGTATGCCAGGCTAGCCCACCCCTGTGTATGCCAGGCTAGCCCACCACTGTGTATGCCAGGCTAGCCCACCCCTGTGTATGCCAGGCTAACTCACCCCTGTGTATGCCGGGCTAGCCCACCCCTGTGTATGCCAGGCTAGCCCACCACTGTGTATGCCAGGCTAGCCCACCACTGTGTATGCCAGGCTAGCCCACCCCTGTGTATGCCAGGCTAGCCCACCCCTGTGTATGCCAGGCTAGCCCACCCCTGTGTATGCCAGGCTAGCCCACCCCTGTGTATGCCGGGCTAGCTGGTCCAAAGCTTCCAGAGATTCATCTCCAGCTCCCATTCCTCCATAAAAGCACTGGAATCACAGACAAACCATGCTGAATCCAGTGTTTCTGTGGGTTCTGGGTAGCTAAACTGCCATCACCTAAGTTGTATATGGAGTACCTTATCCACCAAGCTGTCTTACCCAGCACCAGCATGCTTTCTCGCAGCCTCCATTTTCTCCCTCCTCTGAGATCTCACTGGCTCCTGCCAACATTGGATTATAAATTTATGTCTTTATGTCAGTTCATTCATCTAATAAATATTTATATATAACCATTGGCCAATTAGTTTTCTGGGTGTTAGGAAACTGGGCAGGAACAGAAAAGTCCCCCAGGGAGTCAGCATTCCAATCTGACCCTCCCACTTCATTTCATCATACTTGCTCTTGTTTGAGAACCTTTGCCTCCCAGGACGGTACTACAGACCTCCTAGAGACATCCTCCTGCAGCGAGTTTTCTGTGTGGCCCATTAGATCCTTCCAGACACATCTGATCCACGCTCAGAACCCTCCCACATTCCTGTCATCTTGCCTGCTTCTGTCCAGAAGCCATTCTCTCCCTTTGCTGCCTGGGCTCCACCCCAACTCCCCATCATCTCATTCCTCCCTCATCTTCTTTCTCACTCCACAATTGGCTCTGGCTTCCTGACCCGCTTTTGAAAGAGTCCTCCGGCTTTTCTGTCTGCAAAAGTCCCACTCGTTATTAACCTTTTAGTCTAAACCCAATCTCTGTCAAATGAAATAGAGAAAATCTCACTTAGCGGAGCCTCCATGCACTGGGAGACGACTGAATGACTATGTATTAATCTGTTTAATGTGCACTTGCTCTCCTTGCTAGGAACAGACCTGTCTATTTCAGTATAGTTTGCATCTTAATACACATTGTAGCATTATAATGTGCCAACTGTGACCCTTCAGGGTGGGGCAGAGAAGATACTGAGCGCTATCTGCATGTTTTATTAAATCTTTTGACTCAGATTATAGTCATTTAAACAAAACTTTTTCATTTACAAAAGAATAAAAAGGAGAGAAAACACAATCACCAAAATGCAACCACTGTTAAGGGTTGAAATTATTTTCATCATTTTCCTTAGTATACACACACATACACACTTTGTAAACCCTTGTGGGTTTTTTCACTTAAAATATACTAAAATGGATCAAGCCTTGGCACAGATTATTGCACTGATTTCCAGAAAGGTAGAGGGACCACACTGTACCATATGGAATGCGACCGTGTGGCAGACTCACCCCACCTCAGCTGGCCACTGTGGGTGCCTTATCAGTCACTACATCAAAGCTGAAGTCTTTTCCCTTCACTTTCTTTGACTCTTGTCAGAGCCTGTGCTTCCTCTTTCTGTATTTGCTAAAAGTTTTGCTTGTTACTTAGTGAGGTGTTGTTGACCTTTCGTCTCTATTGTGTCCCATGGACAATCCATGGTTTCAGTCCTTTCTGGTCACATGTACTGTCCTATTCATTGGAGAGATGGTTCTTCCTGCCCGTGATTTGTGTGTGCACATGCGTTTGTTCTCACACCCATGTATCTTGCTCATTTTAATGCTTCTATTGGTTTCAAACTAAAGATGTCTTTATTTCAACCAGAGATCAAGAGTTATTCTCTCTCTCCCTCTCTCCATCTCTCCTTTCCAGTTAGAGTCAGTCCCTCACCCCACCATGTGTGTCCTAAGTAAGTATAGACCTCAGGTATCACAGCAAGGGCCTTCATCCTCTGATCCATATTGAAGCAGTTTGTGGGGTCTTGGATACGTAAGATTTCCCACACATTCTGGATCTAACAGAGCTATTTGCCCCTAGGGACCTTCTGACAGATGGAGAATGGAGGGTTTTGTATATTCTATTTGGAGATTATCTCTGAGCTCCAACTCCTCTTTCCCTAACACCAGAATGGGTTGAATAACAAATCCACAAGCTACTTGGATTTCATTTGCTGTGTTTTTCCATGTAGTCCCATTTTCCCTTGATTATTGGCCATGGGCAATTACAAATCCTTATATTCTAATCTCAATTACTAATATTAACTTTCAGGTCACATATAAAAGCTCACGCAGCTTGAAGCCACTGTTTTACACCATACAGGGTAACTCAGAGCAGGGTACAGCCTGCTGTCTTTCTCATACAAAGGAATTCTGCCCATTCGAATAGTCTGCTAGCTGGGACAGGGGTGTCAGTGGGGCGCTCTTTAGCCTATCCTTCCCTTCCCTGGCTTCGGTGTGAAAATGGCCACAGCAGCTTTTCAACTACAGTCATCACCAGGGTGGTGTGCAGTCTGGCAAACCTGGGTCGCCCTCAACCCGGGAAACTGCAGCTACTGCACTGATGGCAGTGACTTCTGCCCAATTAGCCAACACAGAAGCTCCCATGGCGAATGCGCAGATCTCCCTTCCGGAGGACTTGCCACAGGTTAGACCATTCAGGGAGAGCCTGCAGGACAGACACCTCCTAATGCAGAAACGTTGGCTCCTCCTAGCTGTTTGCCAGAAAGTTTCAACCTCCCTTGACCGCATTGAACCGATGACTAAAGCTGCAGCTGGATGGATGTGCCTGCTCAATGTCAGAGTCCTTGAGCGTCTTTGCCCCGAATGTGACCTCCACTCCAGCCCCAGTCAAGATTCGGAGATTCTTCCTCTCTACTCTTCCCTGCTTCTCGCTCCTTCCACATGGGTCAAGCTTGCCTTAGTTCCGAGGCTTTCTCTACCCACTATCCCCTCCCCTCATAACCTGTACAAGCATCTCCTCCAATGAAGTCCTCGTGCATCTAGCCTCACCCTGGCTCCTGCGTCTCCGAGGCCGCACACAGACGCACCAGTATTGTCCCACTCGCAGCAATCTGTATGTGAGACCTTACTGTCGTCCTCCAAGGTCTCAGACAACACGGGCCACTGGCATCAAAGACAACAAAGTGCGTTCATCTCTAAGTAGGGCTCCCTTGAGAGTTATCGATCCTTGTCCCTGCACCTACACACTGGCCCACTTCATCTCCCACTAAAGGTTTAACAAAAACGCAGACTCTTATGATTAGTTGATAAATTGTTGCAACTGGCACTTCCCGAGTAGTCTTTCATCTCTTTTCCCTGCCCCCTACCACAGGCCATGCGTCTTGGCCCTCCCTCTGTGGGTGGAGTCTGCAGAGGACCGTGTCTACCAATCACATGGTGAATCCTTCCGCCTCCCTGCAGTCTGACGTAGACATTGCCCTATAGGGGCTAGCTTTCGAATCTCTGGAGGGGTGAGCCCTTCCACGCCCAAGGGTAAATGATAATCAATGTCACATTTTTCACCAGGCCCGCACAGAGATACAAACACACAAACCCGCGAAGAGGCCAGAGAAGCAAACTGATCCACAAGGAGCCCCCAGAGGCTCTGATGTGCAAGGCTCAGACAAACAGCAGATAAGCGGGGGTCAAAGCGAACCCGGGCTTTAATCTGTGCTTTGATTTACTAAAGCTTCCTAATCTGCCGGGATCAGCTGCGAGGTTTGTGTAAGTCATTGATTTAGAGACTCCCGGCAGGAAGATATTTGGCATTCAGAGGCGATTTCATAGAAAAGTATCACAGATTCATAAAACAATTACAGTGTCAGAAAAAAAAATGGGAAGGGCTGGGGATGAGAGCTGGTGTAGCATGCACAAGGTTCGACCCCCAGCATGCCTGCCTCAAACAGAAAAGACTCGAAGATGCTGTGTCAGACTTCCTGGTGCCAATGAAGCCTTTGAGAATTCTCAGAAGATGCCAGCATCACCCCCTGCCCCGAGATCTAAGATCCTGGTCTCCTGATCTGCAAGTTGTATCTAGAACAATATATGCAAGGTATGTTGTTAAGCAAAAATAAAACATGCTGTAGGCAGTACATTTACTTTGTCTACTTTTTCTTTCTGTAGCATGTCTACAAATCAAAGTTCATTATCTTGAGGGCTTCAAGAATCCTTTTGTCATGATAAAAAGAAGAATCCTTTTGTCTTTAAAAACAAAACAGAAAACTTCTAAACTTGTAGAAACCTTTTAAATAGGAAAAGATACTGCCTTTTAAGACAACAGTATCTGGGACTGGACAGATGGCTCAGTGGTTAAGAACATTTGCTGTTCTTGAAAAGGATCTGGGTTCAGTTCCTAGTAACCACACGGTGGCTCATAGCCATCTGTAACTCTGGTTCTAGGACGTTTGACCTTCTGTCCTTGTGTGCCTTAGACATGCACATGGCATATATACATGAATTTAGGCAAAATGTAGATACATATAAAATAAAAATAAATCTTTACAAAAAAGATAGTAGTATCTAAATAAGTAAACTTTCTAAAAAATATTTATTCGTTTGTGTGTGTGTGTGTGTGTGTGTGTGTGTGTGTGTGTGGTTACACAAGGCAATGCACACACATATACAGAAGCCAGAGAGGTGTCTGGTGTCCTTCTTACACTCTCTGCCTATGCCTTTGGAGGCAGGGTCTTTCTCTGAACCTGAGTCTTGCATCTTCTCAGGGAGGCTGGAAGCCAGCAAGTCCTAGCCATGCTCCTGTCTCCACCCCAGTTAAAGTTGGGGTTACCCATTCTTAGCCACTGAGTCATTACCCCAGCATGAACCTTGGTTTTTATAAAAAGTAAATTTGTTTTCAAAAACCCAAAACTAGGACTTGATCTCCCATCTCTGGTGACCAGGTGACTCGGCACTAAGAGCCACGTGTCTCCAGCTCCCAGCCGTTCATCCCTGAGCCACTTCTCCAAGGCAGAGCTCTGATTCTCTGTGGCTTCCAGCCTTGAAAGGCGCCAAGAGCCACCTCCCTCCTGGATGACATGGCAGAGGACACTTCAGTGTCAGGCGGCATCTGCTGCCCTGTGCTGGCATTGCCCAGGCCATTCTGCAGCATGGTTCTGTTACCAGGAGCTGAGCTCCCTATGGCCAGACTCCCTACATGGTTTGGAAGACTTGCTAATTCACGCATTATTTATTTATTCAGGAATTCATTGGGCAAATATTTATATAGTACCTAATGTATAGGAACAGACATTATCTGTAAGGCTAATAGTCAGCATGCTCCCAGGGGCTGCTGGGTTGCTATGCTGAAAATAATATGAAAAGGAGGTGTTTCTCCAAGAAAGCCAAAGAAATGCAAATTAAAACACAATGAAGTGACATTTTCACTTGTCAGTTATTAAAATGCCATGATAAAGCTCAATGCCAGTTAAGATATGATAATTTAAATGACTTTCTTTGCAAATATGCATTGTGCCTTAATGTATGTGTGTGCTTGAGTGTATGGGTGGGCCTGTGTGTGTGTTTCTGTGTGTATGTACCTGTGTGCATGTGTGTGCCTGTATATATATGTATATGTCTGTGTGTTCCTGAGTATATATCTTTGTATGTGTGTGTGCCTGTGTGTGTGCATGTATCTGTTTGTGTATCTGTATGTATGTACTTAAGTGTATGCATGTGCCTGTGTGTGGGTGTGTGTGTGTCTGTGTGTATGTAGACATGCCTGTGTGTGTGAGTGTTAGCTGTGTGTATATGTGTATATGTGTGTGCCTAACTGTATGTATGTGCCTGTGTGCGTGATTATGTATGTGTGTCTGTGTATATAAATATGCCTGTGTATGTGTGTACCAGTGTATAGGAGAAAGAGAGAGAGAGAGAAAGAGAGAGAGAGAGAGAGAGAGAGAGAGAGAGAGAGAGAGAGAGAGAGAGAGAGCCTGTCTGTGTGTATGCGGAGGCCAGAGGACAACTCCAAGTGCCACTTTCAAGAACACCATCCACTTTCTTTGAGACAGAGGTCTTATATTAGCTCAAAACTCTCAGATTTGGCTGGGCTGGCAGGCTAGTAACCACAGTGATCCTCCTGTCTCCGCCTTCCAAGCGCTGAGATTACAAGAATGCATCCAACACTTATGCGTGGGTCCCAGGCAAGCACTTTACCCACCAAGCCGCTCTCCAGCCCAATGTAAACAATGTCTATCTAGTACAGGTGTGAACACAGATGTGACATACTCCGTAACCAGTCCATATTCTTTCTCTTTCAAGAAAGGTAGGCCACATTAGTTTGCCATGGCTGTGTGACAAATGACCACCAGTCTGGTGATCTGAGACAGAAACCCCCTAGCTCACAACCGTTGGGAGAGCTCAGCTTGGCACTCCTGAGAGTCAGGTCAGTTGTCCCAGCCCTATGTTCCTGTTGGCTGCCCTGGGAAGAATCCAAGGTCAGTCAAGTTGTCTTTTTTAAAAACATTTGAAAAATTTTTGTTTACCTGTATTTATTGTGGAGGCATGGGTGCATTTGTGAAGGTCAGAGGGCAACTTGCAGGAGTCCGGGGACTGAACTCAGAGTGTCCCGCTTGGCAGCAAGCGCTCTTACCCACTGAGCCACGTGACTGGTTCTCAGTAAAGTTTTGGCAACATACATTTCCCGTGGTTGGGGACTGTGGTCCCCATTTTCTTGGTGACTATCAGCTGGAAGCCCTGAGCTCCTAGAGTCTACTCAGCCACCTGCCTCTGAAGCTGGTCACGCCTCAAACTGTAAAGTGTGAAAGACGGCAGCAGGGAGACATTGAGTGACCTGAGGATGGGGAGTGGCTGCCATTCCTTTGCTCTCTGCCTGTTGCAAGTTAATCCCACCCATGTGTTTCAGCTTCTCTCTGTCTCTGACAGAGAAGTGATAACCAGCAACCTTGCTGCCACCCCCAGATAACATGCAGCTTCGACCAGCCTTCTGCTTTAAAGCCTGGAGGCCACAGGGAATGAACAGGAGGCTCTGCACACTCCAAGGTGCTGTGGGCAGGGCTTTCGGCTTACACAGGCAGAAGTCAGGCTGTGGAGGGAAGGGGAAGTCTGGAGGCTGCATCCTGGTGTGAACGTGTGGGGACAGTATCTCCTTCTCACTTCTGCAGGAGGAAATAGGTCCAGCTGGCCACAGGACACTGATGCCACACTCTGGCAACCAGCACAGTAAGTATCCAGAGAGGTTTATTTTGGAACATGGGGCTAACCCCTGAGGAGGTGCCCCTGCAAGGCTCCCCTCTGATACCAGCTTACTGGCCAATGATTCTTCCCGCCATTCTCTCTTTGCTTCTGCCCCACCCTGCAAGCCTAGCCCCCCCACATATGCACATGCTTACACACAAACATGAATATGAGCAGACATGCTGCACCCTCTTAATGAACATGGACACCTCAAAGCCAGACACACTTACAGATAGCAGACACACAGGAAGACATGTGCAGACATGCCTGTACACATGCCCATAGACACACCCATATAAACATAAGCCCACACTGCTCTAGGGTACACACACATGCAAATGCGCATGCAGGCACAAATGCAGATGCTGTAACCCACGGCTGCCAGCCAGATTTTGCTCCCCAAGTGTCTGAAGCCCTTCTCCTCTTTTCCTGTGATATTGGGTGCAGAGGGAACAAAAGAAATGATACGGCCCAAGAGCGCAGCAACCTCTGCAACCACAGGGCCAGCCCCTGAGCAAATGCCAGGAATTTTGCTGACTTGAAATTGGGTTTAAATCATAGATCACAAATTTCTATGTGCCTGCTTTGTGGGGGGAGGGGAGGGAGAAGGAGAGGGAAAGAGAGACTGTGTGCCTGTAGTTCTCATCTGGATTTTGCTATGGAGTTCAGAATGGCCTCTAACTTACAGTCATGCCCCTGCCCCTGCCCCTGCCATGCCCAGACTTTCCTTTCCTTTTGCTCTTTTACCTCCCGTGCACCTTTCTTCCATGCCACGCGTATCTTTGGTACTGGAACCCTCTCCTATAACCCCTTTGTCTCTCCACAGTGTGGGTAGACGTCCCCAACCCTGCAGCTGAGAGATGCTGGGTGCCCCCTTGAGTGCCAGGTGTCAGCTGCTGGGGGGGTTGCCATGGAGGACGGAAGCTGCCCGCTGAACTTTGGTTGGGTTTGAATTCGCTTAGAACGGGGAATCCAAGCAGTTGTGGGTAGGTTTATGGGAAATTTCTCTGCATAAACAGGACAAGGAAGTCAGCAATGTGTGCCTGTGCTTCAGTGAGCCCCAGCTGAGGTTTCCATTAAGACAGTAAACCGCATGTTTCTGTGAAATCTGTCTTGTGAGACAAAGCCTTCTGTGGCAGCGTCTCTTGTGGCTGTGATTTTCAGGGCAATCTCCTCACAGTTTCTGTTGCAGGCAGGCACATGGGGGGGGGGGGGGTTTGCAGCGGGGAAAGGAACACGTGCCAGGGACTCTGCTGTTGCGACTGACATCCCACCTGTCCCATTTGTCTCTGCTGCAAAGCTCACAGAGACTCCCGGCCTCTGAGTGCCCCCTTTTACAGACCCTGAATCCCAGTTCAGGAAGACAGTCTAGTGTCCTTTGCTCCTCATGATTAACCCTAGGATAGCCCAGAGATGCTGAGGACCCAGCTCACCTCCTGGCTTCTTTGTGAAGAACACTGAGCTGGCTGGAGGAAGAGAATGGCACCCAGGACTTTGAAACCGCTTACCAGAAAATTCCACCAAGCACCATGACTCAGCCTTCACCCTCATCACCAGCGTGTCTGCCTGAAGCTTGGGAAGAAGCCTTGTAGACATTCCCTACCTTGAGAGTCACTAGCCCAGGTTTGGCCTGGAAATCACTGTGTAGATCGTGCTAAGTTCACATCAGTTCTCACCTATTTACACAAAGGAGTTTTGAGCTCCCCCATCTTGTCCCACTGTCTGGCCTCTCTGCAACCTCCATGGGGCTTGTAATCTGTATTCCAATCACAATGGGCAAAGCCTCCAAATCTTTGTTTGTCTATTTTTGTTTTGTTTTATTTTGAGTCAGTGTTTCTCTGTGTAGCCCTGACTGTCCTAGAACTTGCACTATAAGACCAGGCTGGCCTAGAACTCAGAGATCTGCCTGCCTCTGCCTTCTGAGTTCTGGGATTAAAGGCGTGTGCCACCACCGCTCAGCCCAAATATCTTCAATAAACCCATTCCCCCACCTTCTCTCCAGACTCGGGTAAAGTGGGAGGATGCCTTGCTGTATTTAAGGACAACCTGAACTCAGTGGCCCCAAATACCAGTGTATAGATTCCCACAAGGCTAATGATGGCTTAGACCAGCAGTGTGCAAATGTAACCTCACATGGCTAGATCAGCAGTGTGCAAATGTAACCATGCATGGTTAGACCAGCAGTGTGCAAATGTAACCATGCATGGTTAGACCAGCAGTGTGCAAATGTAACCTCACATGGCTTAGACCAGCAGTGTGCAAATGTAACTGTGCGTTCGAATCGCCCTCAGGACTGATAGATGCACAGGTTGCTGGGCCCACTCAGAGTTTCTGAGTTAGTGTGTGTGTGTGTGTGTGTGTGTGTGTGTGTGTGTGTGTGTGTGTGAGTAGTAGTAGCAGTAGTAGTAGTAGTAGTAGTAGTAGCTGAACTTGATGCCTGGGGAACACACTTGGAGAACTGCTGTCAGCCATTTCTAAGGACATCCCTTTCACAATACTTTGCAGAGTCAGGACAGGAAAATAGATGTGACAGAGACTGGGACCCCAGGGCCCCTAACTGTTCTCCCTGTCATATGACTTGCTCCTTGTTACCTTTCTTTCCAACACAGACAGTAGCTCTGGGGAGTGTTAATTAGCCACTGGAGGAGGCAGAGAAGGTAATAAGAGCCTGAAGTAGAACCCGGGCTTTGTCCAGACTCCATGACTAGCCTGCTAGTTGATTTCAGGAAAGTGACAGACTCTCTGGTCTTAGTTGAAAATCCCCTCTACCTCATGAAGATAACTAATTGTTAAGAGAAGCTTTTTCTTTGCTAGCTGCTTTGGTATATCCCCCGCCAGTCGCCTGGGCTCTGCCGCGCCAGCCTGGTTCTAGATCCGCATGAGTCCCAAATAAACACACAGGAGGCTATATTAATTATGAAGCTGTTGGCCTTGTTCGTCTCTTACTGGCTAGCTCTGCCTTAAGTAATTACCCCATAATTGTTAATCTAAGTATGTTTCTTACCGGAGAATAGTTCCCGGTGTCCTACTCCCATGGCGTCACATGTTGACTCTCCTGTGTGTCTCCTACCCAGAATCCTCCTGGATTCCTAGCCCCACCTATCTAGATTCCTATTGGCCAGACAGTGCTTTATTAGCATAAGACTTCCCCAACAACTAATAAGATCAAGAAAACGGCCTTTGAAAGGGATTTTTCAAAGTGTAAGCCATTTCTGATTGACTATTATATCATGCAAGCAAACAGGACATTGCAAGTTTGACCTTCAAAATCAGTTTCAGGACACTACCTCCATGGCAGTTCTTTCAGAGTAGAAAGGATGACCCTTGCTCCCAGCATCTGAGAACCAACATTGAGGGCACACAGTGTAACATAGTAGGTGCTTTGGATGGCAGGAATGTCAGGACAGGGCAGAGCAGAATTTGTCTTGTGACGCAAGCAGGCAGCTAGGGTGACATCCCTCAGAAGCCAGGTTGCAATCCCAGGACAGAACTCTCATCGTTGGCTAGGATGAGACCCTCCTGACCATTTCCAAACCCAGTTTATCTGCTGGGCGGGGTGCCGAATGCACACCTGACATACAGCAGGAAGAACACTTTACAGCCCACTGTGGAGCTGGTGTCCCTTCTGAGTGAGGAGGGATTTGGAGGGAACAGAGCTGCATCTGGCCTTTGTGGGCTGAGGTTGGTGGCAGACCAGCCTAGTGAGCCTGCTCTTCCGGCTTGACTGTGGGGTACTTCTCCCCCAAGGAGGCAGGGCGCGTTTCCCTCCTCAGACTGTGACCTCCAACATGAGACTTAATGAGACCCACAGCAGACAACTGTGAGTGGTGCCCTGGGCCTCGTGGCCCAGAGGAGACCCTAATCTGCTTGGCACCGAAAGGGTTTGTCCCAAATTTTAGATGTTGTTGTTCTAGACGCTTGAAAAGGAGAGAGAATGCAAGCCCAGCGATTAATCTGATGTCACAGATCTAAGCCCTCTAACTTCTAGAGACAGACCTTAGGGTGTTACTCAGGGTCACAAAAACATAACTTGATGCTGAGGAGAGCTGACTTCCCTTTCTGGAAGAATAAGGAAACCACAAACCAACAGCAGCACAGACAGCAGCCATATAGCTCTGACTGGATCCTGTGGAAAGATACTAGTCAACTGTGCTATAAACCCGAACACGGAGTATCAGAACCCCGAGTGTGAGCAGCAGCATCCCGAGGCAGGAAAGGCTCTGGCTAACGAGCTTTACCAGAGTCAGGAGGTTTATAGAACCACAAGAAGAAAGGACCTGTGTCATCAGATAAAAACACAAAGCAGTCAGGGTGGGGGTGGGGTGAATCATGTGACTGATTCCTATAAACTGGTGAGTGTAAGCTATAACACTGAGTTAGCTCTTGTCCTGGATCTGTTGTCCCTCTCTCTGTCACAGGCCCCCTCTTTCCCAAACCCAAGCAGAAGGATATTGGGACTTTCCTCATAGAGCATTCTAACTGCAGATGTTAAACACGGCCTTCCTGCCTGCATTGCATGTGAGCGTGAGTGTCCATCTAGAAGGCTTATGTCAGCAGTGGGCCTGTGTGGGAAGTCCATTAAAGACTCAGTAGATGAAATGTCACTCTATTCCTGCTCTAAGAAGCTGTTCCACACGGAAGGGAAACAAGTATGGGAGAAACTGGTCCTGAGGAGCAGTGGTTGACTGTGCATTTTCTCACCTGTGTGTGTGTGTGTGTGTGTGTGTGTGTGTGTGTGTGTGTGTGTGAGAGAGAGAGAGAGAGAGAGACAGAGAGACAGAGAGACAGAGAGACAGAGAGACAGAGACAGAGACAGAGAGATAGAGACACATTGAGGAGAGAGAAACAGACAGAGACAGAGACAGAGAGAGACACACATAAAGACATACAGATAGAGACAGAGAGGGAGAGAGGGAGAGAGGGAGAGAGAGACAGAGAGAAGATTCAGGTCTACCCTATGCTCAGTGTGTCAGCCACAGGGCTCAGTGCTTAGATATCTATAGCAACCCTGGTCTTGTGATCTACAGACCAAGTGACACGGATTCCTGACTCTGCTTCATTTTCTAGAGGCCAGAAAAGCAGTTTTCTTTCCTTTTAAAAGGAAGAGAAAGGGGGAGAGCCAGGATGTAGCGAGGCAGAAACACCATTCAGACTGACCCTGGGGATACTTCCCTGGGACTTCTGGGGAAATCTACAGCACTCACACAAGTGTCAGAGCAAAGAAGGTCATGGGCTTCAAGAAGGGGAAACATGCAGAAGGCAGATAGATACCTTAGTTTTCTTTCTGTTGCTGTGGTAAAATGCCCTGACAACTTAAGAGAGAACGGATTTGTTTCAGCTCACAGTTCCAGGATACAGTCCATTACTGTGGGGAAGTCAAGGCAGCGGGAGTGTGAGGGTGTGGGCCAAATATTATCTATAGTCAGGAACAGGCAGCAATGAATACAGGCACTCAGCTCACATTCTCCACCCTTACACGCTCCAGGACCCCTGCCTAGGGAATGGTGCCGCTCACAGTGGATGGATCCTTCCACCTCAGTTAACACAGTCAGGACAATGCTGCCAAAACTGCCAACCTGATCTAGACAACTCTTCATTGAGAGTTTCCTCTAAGTGAGTCTAGATTGTGATTCTAGAACTAACCATCACTGCAGGGAAGTCTGGAGGCCCAGAGAATGATAGCAAAATTCTGTAAGAATGCCTGGCTTTGAACATTCGGGTCCTCATTCTTGATCCTTGTCCAAACTGCAAAAATTCCCCATGTAGCAAAATACTACTGGTCATGGGGAGGGTTAGGATTGAGGCAATCTTTTCACCCTCTTGGGGCCATCTGTGTTGATAAGCAACTGGGCTAGATCGTCATGGGTACGTTCAACACCCCAGAGATGAAATCACTCTTGGGTTCTTCCCCTTGGTCCATTTGGTTATGTCCTCCTGCTGCTTCATTTCTTTGATGGTAGTATTATGCCCAAGCAGGAAAATGGTCATACAAAGTCATGACTGCCTCTGCTGACCTGAAACACACAGACCAGACCGACAACATTGAGAGCCAGCCTGGCCTCGGCACGTGAGAGCCAGCCTGGTCTCGGCATGTGAGAGCCAGCCTGGCCTACCAGTGGGAGGACTGAGTTCTGTCCAGGCTGCTCATGAAGCATTGTTGCCCTTCCATTCAACATTGTCTCCTTTTCCCTTCTTTCCTCCCTGCTCCCCCCATCCCTCCCTGTCCTCTCTCCCTCCTCCTCTTCCCCCTGCTCCTTCCCTCCTCCCTTTCTTCCTCACCAGGATGTAAGCTACCCCCCCACACACACACACTTTATCAGTTGATGCTTTTACAACAGTTTTTCATAGAAATATTTGATCTGAGAACATCTGTTTCTGTCTGGAACATATTTTCCCCCCCAGTACTTGACTTTGCACTTCCTATAGCTGTCAGCTCAGCTCGTCTCACAGATTCTGTGACATGACTCCATATTACCAAGCAAACATCAATTGCGCTTCCGGCTGGAGTTGTCAGTCTGCATGCCGAGCACGCAGCTGCCTCCCTTGCTGACAGACATCTTCATTGCAGTGGCCTGGTTACGCCGATACTGTACGTAGGGCTGTTCATTGTCACTTGAGAAACAAAACTGATACCGAGGGCAACTTCTGCGGTGTCACTGGTTGGACTAGGTCAACATGTTAAGATGTAAATTTCAGAAGCACCCCATGACACCTGGTGACACATGACACAATTGACATGGAGGAAAAGTGATGACACCCTTGTGAAGGGCTGTGGCTCTGTCCCTCTAAGATCTTCTGGTCTTCCCAAAATCTGTGTGGAAGTGCCTCTCATTGAATTAGTTCTATCATCAATCTGATTTTTGCTAGGATGGGGTTAGCAAGAGACACTGGCTGGGAGCTGCAGACACTCTGTGTGTTCCTGTACCTACGCTCCACGTGTCTCACTGTGCTCTATGGTCAGAACACCCTGACCTCCTTATATCTGTGGTGTTAGA